AAAGATCTCTAATCTGTTCTAATTTCTAAAGAAAGTGTTTCTTTAGTCAGTTCTATTCTACCCTGTTCTATTCTATTCTTTATTAAATTATTCTGCGTTATCTATTTTATTCTGATTTTTAAATATATTTTGATTAATTTTTTTTTCTGTTTAAAATTATTATCCTATCGTTAGTGTTTTATTTAGTTATATTTTATTCTTATTCATAAAATTATTTTTTATTTTATATTTTTTATTTATTATTATTTCTAAATTATTTATTTTCAAATTCTTATTTCTAAATTTATATTTTGATTAATTGTTCTATTTGATTAATTATTATAATTTGTTTAAAATTATTATTCTAATGTTAGTGTTTTTAGTTATATTTTATTCTGATTCATAAAATTGCTAATTTTTATTAACGATTTCCTATTTTATTCTAATTTGTAATGTATTTTCTAATTAATTGTTCTTTTGTATTTTATAAAATTATTATTCTACTTAAAGTGTTTCTTTTGCCAGTTTATTCTATTCTGATAATAATAATAAAATGATTTTTATTATTGTATCTTTTAATTTATTAAATTAACATCTATTTTATTCTGATTTCTAATTTTGTTTTTTGATTAATTATTCTATTCTCTTTTTAATAATTATTATTTGATTATTCTAATTATTATTAAGCAATACGTGTTGTTATATTATATTATATTATTATACAATTATATGGTATATTTTTATTAAATTATTTTGTATTTCGTTCTGATTTCTGAACTTTCATTCTGATTTTTGTTCTTACTGATTTTTATTAAAAAAAAAATGTTTTTTTATTATTTAAGTGATTTTAGTCAGTTCTGTTTTATTCTGTTTATTCTAGTCTGTACAGATTTATAGTTATGTTCTAATGTACTGTATTAAGTAATATTCCATTCTATTCTATTCTCAATATATGAGAGATTGTCTGGTGTCATCCAGCATCTTAGTGTTGATTTCCAGTTTCTAGTGCTGATGTGGATCAGGTGAGAGTGGGTTCAGGTGACCTGTAATCTAAACTCACCTTTCGCTGCATCAGCCTCTCTGTATTTAATTAACAAATAAACCAAACAGACGAGGACTGATCTGATAACATACCAGCACTGCAGCTCATTCTCTGCTCAACTAAAGAAAGCATGAGAGAACGAAACGGACAGAAGAAGACGGAGCACAAAGAGATAAAGTCTGATCATGTGGAGTGAATGTGTGCCGTGGAGAGGCTCTTGTTTAAGCTGATTAACAGTCACTCTCTCGGGCCCTTATTCCGTTCCCAGGACACTTGGTTCCCGTCCATAGAGACCGGCTTTAGAGCTCCTGTGGGACATTCATCTCATCGGCTCTGTTTGTCCGGGTAAAGAAACGCACTGTCGACCTGCTCTCGTCCTGTCTCTATTTATCTTTCCTTAACTAGAACTCTCTCTGGCTTGCTAACCGTCTGCTTCTCCTCACTCCATCCCATAAAGTCCCATAACCAAACTGTGCTCAGGATAATGAAGGTCTTCTGCAGGAGGAACAAACTAAGTTACTAACTTTTAAAAGTAATTAGCTAACTGGGAAAAGTAGTCGCCCCTCTTGAAAAAAAGAGAAGAAATATTAAACCAGTTTTAACCAATGTTATTTGAGTATTATCTAAAACTAACTAGTTGAAATAATAAAAGTGTTTTATAGTTAACATTATTCCAGTTATTTATTATTATTATTATTATTTAATATTACTTATATAAATAATATTATTTAATATTTCTGTTTAGCTTTTAAATTTTTTATAGTTATTTTTATTTCAGTTTTCGTAATTTTAGTACTTCAACTTTAAGCTATTTATTTCAGTTAGTTGCCAAAGCAACAATTCTATTTTAAGTTTAAATCTAAGTTTAAGTTTTTCATCTAATATTTTTATTTTAGTATATTTCAGCTTTTATTTTAATTTATTTCGGTAATCTCAATTACAGATTATTATTATTTTTTTTTAATAATGACAACGTTGGTTTGAACCTTCTTTTTTAAAAATGTACTGATGTCCATGACTACTTTTAGATGGACAATGCCAGTTTTTCCTCCTACAATCAGGTTAAATGGGTTATTGTTGACTTGTTAACTATTAATGTCTCAGTTGTTTCTCCTAAGCAGCAATCAAATGGAGATTTTTGCTTAATTTATCTATTTTTCAGAAAAAAAGACCCCAGTTATTTTAAAATAGACCTCAATAATGAACAATAAACTGTGCTCAGATTTGCCAAAACAACAAAGTGTGCAATTAAAAGTTAAAGATCTTAATATGAACTTAATATGAACTAATATGAACAAATTTTGTTATTTTGAGCAATGTTTTTGGTTTCCATCAGCATTTTGGTGCCCAAAACTTACCGTACACTGGTAACCAGCACTAAGACAGTTTTAAAGGGTCATTTAAGGTTGATCGCCCTTTTAAAGGCACAGTTCACCCAAAAATGAAAATTGTAATCATTTACTCACCCTCCACTTGTTCCAAACCTCTATGAGTTTCTTTCTTCTTCTGAACACAGAAAATTATATTCTGAAGAATGTTGGTAACCAAACAGCTGACGGCAGCCATTGACTTCCATTGTATTTTTTTTTTTTTCCTCATTCTATGGAAGTCAATGGCAACCGTCAACCACTTGGTTACCAACATTCTCTAAAACATCTTCTTTTGTGTTCAACAGAAGAGAGAAACTAATACAGGTTTGGAACAACATGAGGGTGAGTAAATGATAACAGAATTTTCATTTATGTGAACTATCCCATTAAGCAGGGATAAAAAACATTTTATGACATTTTAGAATACTTTGTCTCCAAATGTCAACACAAGATGAGGTCAACAAGATGTCAAGTGAATGAGCCCTTGATGCATATGAAGAATGTCTGTGTATTATTCCACTATAAGTGGGAGGGGCTTATCGAACAGGAAGTGATGCGGATGAGAGCCGCACGGCACAGATGGTCCCAGTGACTCAGTCGGCGTGACGTCCAAAAGCTTAACGCAAAACCCACCACCACATGTGAGGCTCAAGTCAGTTGTGTTTGTGAGTGAGAGTCTGGATGATTTTCATTTGTCCTGCTCCTCTCTCATGTGTTTTTCCGAGCTATTTGCGCTCTGTGAGTATTTGGAGGTTGTGTATGTGGGAGAACGGCGTTTTCTTTGGCACACTGTAAGTCTTTGTGTGTCTCTACTGCTCACTCATGCATGAAGGTCCCAGCTGTATAGGAAGCGATGCAGGGAGTCGTTCACTGCCCACTGGGCACGCAGCCCAGAAACACTTGACACTGGTGAGCCGAGAGCTTGGAAACAGGGTCAGCGCACACCTTTAATGAGTGTGTGATTGTGCACGTGAGCCGATGTTTGGAGGACTGGGAGGAACACTTACACTGTCTCACATTTCTAAGACTTTTAAAACGTAGGCCTATTTTTGGAAGCGAAAAATCAGTTATCCAGCTTTCTTTTGTTCAACAAACATGGACTGAGTCACTTTGGCTTCTTTCCGTTTTCCTTTCGTTTTGTGTGATTTGTTTTGTTATGGTTATAGTTTTGTTTTGTGTTTTTTTGGTTTGTTTTGCTTTTTACCTTTTTTGTGATTTGTTTTGTTTTTGTTTGTTTTATGCTTTAGCTTTTTGTTTTGTTTGATTTTCTAGGGATTTTTGTTATCTTTTGTGTGTTTTGTTTTTATATGTTTTGATTTTAAGTTTTTTTGTTTGTTTGTTTTTTGTTAGGGATTTTTTGTTTTGTTTTGTGTATTTGTTTTATGCTTTAGCATTTTGTTTTGTGTGACTTGTTTTGTTAGGGCTTTTTGTTTTCTTTTGTGTGTTTTGTTTTTATTTGTTTTTATTTTTAGTTTTTTTTGTTTGTGTGTGTGTGTGTGATTTTCTTTTTGTTTAGTTTAGTTTGTTTGTTTTTTTGCATTTTAGCTTTTGTTTGATTGGTTGGGGGCTCTTAGTTTTGTTCATTGTTTTGCTTTATTTTGCTTTTTGTTTTGTGAGATTTGTTATGTTAGGGGTTTTTAGTTTTGATTTGTGTGCATTTTAAGGCTTTTTGTTTTCTTTTGTGTGTTTTTGTTTATATTTGCTTTGCTTTATTGGTTTGTGTTTTGGTTTGTCAGGGCTTTTTAGTTTTGTTTTGTATTTTTTGTTAATTTTTTTCCCCAGCTTTTTGTGTTTTATTTTGTTTTAGCTTTTTGTTTTGTTTTGTGTGATTTATTAGTTTTGCTGTATTTTTTTTTTTTAGCATTTTGTTTTGTGTGATTTGTTATCGTTTGTTTGGTTGGTTTTTGTTATTTTTATTTTTTTGTGTAATTTTTACGTATTTTGTTTTTTTTGCTTTTTAGCCTTTTTGTTTTGTGTGATTAATTAGGGCTTTTTAGTTTAGTTCATGACCTTTTTTACTTTTTTACTTTTCAGCTTTTTGTTTTGTTAATTTTGCTAAGGCTTTTTGTTTTGTTTAGTATGTTTTGTTTGTTTAGCTTTTTTGTTTTTAGTTTTTTATTTAGTTTTGTTTTGCTTAATTTAGCCTTTTTTGTCATTTTTGTTAATGTGGTAATGTTTTGCTGTATTTTTATGTTTTGTTTTGACAGGGCCTTCTTAGGTTTTTTTGTGTGTTTTGTCTTTGTTTTGCTTTTTAACTTTTTGTGTTTTGTTAAATCTTTTTAGGTTTGTTTTAATATTGTTTGTTCTGAATTTTGATGTTTGTTTATTTTTTTCCTCAACAAACATGGTTTGAGTTGTTTTGCCAGTCAAAAATGGGCTTGAATGTTGACTTCTAATCATGAAAATGACTAAAATAAGAACACAATGTGGATACAAATCTCCAGTTAAATACTTTTCAGAGCAAACCTTGAATTAATATCCTAAAATGCACAGCATTCCTTAAAAATCCAAAAATGTAGGTTATATCCTTATTTGTTTTTTATTTATTTATCTGAAATAGATGTGCAAAACAAAAATGTAGTTTAACTTATTTTTTCTTTCTCTCTCAGATCCAGATTACACTGTTGTTCTGAGCACATCTGTGAACGCAAAGTTCTCCGGTGACCCGACAGAGCTGGAATGCAAAGTCACAAATGTGTCGAACCTTCGTAGCGGGCGGCTGGGAGTGTCGTGGCTGTACAGAGACGTTCAGCCCGGGGACGTCCCGGTATCTACTCACACCATCGCCTCACTGGATGAGAATGGCAACCTCGTGCCAGGCAAGATGTACAAGAGCCGCGTGGAGGCGGGGCTTATTACAGTGACCCGAACAGAACCTTCTGTGTTCAAGCTCCGCCTCCTTCGCACGACGGCCGCCGACGCCGGTGAATACACGTGTGCTGTAACCGCATGGGGACCGTCTCGACATGGGAACTGGAAAAAGGTTGCCGAGCATGTGACCCCAGCGCTGAAAGTCAGCTTTGCTAACAAGCGTAAGTGTGCATCCATTTGGATGGTTTTGTACATTTTTAGGGTTAATTTATTGTTTATTTAACCTTTTTATTTTATTGTGTTTGGTGTATCAGTGGATTTACAGAGACTTATATTTACATTCAGCCTGTGTGCAGTTTCTGTCTGGGCCAAAAACGGACCGAATTTGCATGCCCTGCTGTAAATTTTGACCGGTTGATGAAAAACAAACTTATGTGGATTCTACACATTTAAACAATTCAGATACGTTATCTAGAATTATTTATTGAGCAGATAAAATACATATAATCATTTATTAATCAATTATCATTTTGACATATCTTTTCTTTATTTAAAGGCTGAAATGTGAGGTTTACCTTTTTATGAAACTTTTTCAAAGCTTAACGCAACATTTACATGAGATATTTCAACATGCTATTAAACTGTTGTCAGTCAAGTTGTCATTTAAAATCCGAACATCATTGGTAATGTTATTGTTTTAGTGATTATGCAAACAAAAAGTCATTTTATTTGTTGTTTGTTGATTTTTAAATATAAAACTTGAAGTGATTTATGTGTCGGTACTTTTTATCGGTAACATCTCCAGCACATTTTAACAATACCGTGATAATACTGATAACCGTGATAATATTGGTCACTATAATCGTGATAAGAGATTTTCATACCGTTACATCCCTTATATTTATATGTATATTCATTCATTCATTCATTCATTCATTCATACATACATACATCTTGTTTGTAGCATTTTGGCATTGTGAAAAGTTATTTTACACACAAGTGTATTATTATTAATAATGACAATATTAATATTGCTATATCAACCATTTTTCCACAATCAAAAGGTCAAAATTGAAACCAGTTGTATTGTGAGGTAGTGTAAGTATGCATTTGGATGACTATGTAATCTTAGAAAGTTAGTTCACCCAAAGAAGAAAATTACAAGACCATGCAACAAGTTTCAGCAAGACTAGTAAACTACATTTCCCTGTTTAGTTTGCACTGTATGTGAAATATCAAAGGTGTCTAGTTTGTTTTAGACACCTGTGAGTACTGCAGCTCAAATGTTCACGCTTCTATTCTGGTCTGACACATGACATCTCAGCTCATTGATTTCCTGCATCATTTCTATAATTACCTGAACGGAATAACCATATGCATGGAAGCATTTGCACCGGTTGACTTCAGCCAGCGCCGTCTCTGTAATGGGGAATTCTCTGTTTCATGAGGAAGTATAAATTATGCATTTGTATTATATTCTGATGTGTTTTGTGAGCTGCGGGTCTGATGCATTTCTCCACAGGGTGCAGTTTATTCTGACATGCTGAACGCTTGTGTTCAAAACCGTTGCTGCACCAAGTTACACAGCTGCAATTGCAGCTATAATGACATCTGAACATTTGGCATAATTTTGCCATTATCTAATATTGTGGCTCTTATATTGGGACACTTTTTTATATTCCAAGAGACTTGCCAATCCATTGTCTTATGCAATTCAAGACCAATAAGTTTCAGCGAGAAGACACGGCTCTCTGTAGCTGCATAAAAAGCAAATGCAGTGTGTTGCATCATGACTATATTTCTGCATGATATTTGGATGTCGATCATTCAGAGCTCAGAGTTCTCAGCTATGTTTTATTTAAGTTTTAAATGTATCTTAAAATTGTTGCTGAAAATTAATTAGGAGAAATAAACACAGAGACAAAAGTCTGAGTAAATGCTTGAAGCATTTATTGTTGTTGTTGTTTTTGCATTTTTTTATTTAACCTTTGTTTATATAACAATAATAATCATGTAATCATCACATAGTCTTAAATGGTGATTTTATTTTTATTTTTTTTTTGCATTTCTTTTATTTAACCTTTTTATTTTATTGTTGGGTTAATCACTTAATTTTATTTTGTGTTAATATTTAATGTTTATATTGCTTGCAGCAATATAATGAGGATAGCGGCTGAGATCGCATTAATATCAGTGTTATTTGAATATTACATAATCCTACATTTTAATTCATATTTTTGTATTTTAATATGAATATTATATTAAATATTAAATAATAAAAATAAAAATAATATAAACGAAATAAAATATTAACATTTTATGTTAAATTAAAATAATAATAATCATTTTTATTAATAATAATGTATTCATTTGTAATTAAGCTATGTGCTTTTAGTATTTTTATTAGTTTTTGTTATTTGTAAATATTGCTGCTTGTTTAATTTGATTTATTTCAGTTTTAATTTGTTTCAGTTTAGTTTTTATTTATTTCCAGCTAATTTTAGATCTTAAAAATATTTAATTTAGTTGCCCTAGGCAACATTTCTAACTAATAATATAATATAATATAATGTAATGTAATGTAATGTAATATATTATAATATAATATTTTTTTTATTTTTTATTAAATTTGTATTTATTTTATTTCAATCAACAAGATGTTTTTAATGATTTCATTTTAAGTTAACAATGATAACCCTGATTGAGATCTCTGAATTTTAATTGCAGAGCAAATATAAGCAAATATGAGCACAGTTTGAGGAGAGAAACCTCACGTACATTAATTAAAGTCTCATTTAATCTCACTGCTGTCTTGGCGACACTATTAATGAGATGTGTTTTGTTCTCCTCATGTGTCTCACTCAGGTCCTGTTCTCAGTGCCGCGGCCCGGCGTCTCCGTGAAGCTTCGGCTGCTGGCTCCACGTTTGAGATGAGCTGCCAGGCTCACGTCCAGAACCTCCCGCCGGGAACCGCCTTCTCCATCCTCATCTTGTCCGAGGAGGCCGTCGTCGGGTCGCCCAGCCGCAAACTGGCCTCTCTGGGCCCTGAGATGGTTCTGCAGCTGGAGGAAGACCGGGACCTGATGCTGGTGAAGACCGGGAAGAGGGAGTTCCAGTTCCGGATCCAGGCGGTGCAAGTGACCGATCGTGGCTTTTACTGGTGTGAGATGAAGGCCTGGACGAAGCAGCCCGGGGAAGACTGGGTTGAGATGGCCAAAGGAGTGTCCAATAAGGTTCAAATCGATTTCATACACAAAGGTACAGAATGCAAGATATATTTGAATGATTTTCACAAAAGCATGTCCATTTCTACCATTAGGAATGCCCCTGCTGCTTTAAGAAATAGTTTTTGATTAGAATTGTTATTGTTTATATAACCTGCGTTTGTTATTTTATTGTATTTGGTGTATCATACAATTTTATTTTGTTAAAATTTCATGTTTATTTTGCTTGTAGCACTTTGGGTTTGAGAAAAGTGCATTTACAAATAAAATTATTAAAATTAATATTATTAATAATAAAATGCTACTAATAATAATCCCATTATTGTTATTATTATTATTGTTGTTGTTGTTATTATTAGATACAATTATTAAAATTATTGTTAATAATAAAAATAATACAAATAACAATAATACTGTTATTATTATTATTTTTATTACTGTTGTTATTATTAACAGAAAATCGAGAGCAGGGCAATAATGTAGTTCACATTTTGTGACGAAATAAAAAATCAGTTAAAGTGTTTTTTAATTAATTGTATTAATGTGTTAATTTTATTTTATTAGTTTATTTTCTTTATTTTTATATTTTATATTGTATTTTATTTTATTATTTTCTTATGTTTTCTTTTCTTTTATTTATTTATTTATTTTGACGCTTATTTGGCTTATAGTACTTTGGGCTTGAGAAAAGTGCTTTTACAAATTAAAATTATTATTATTATTATTATTATTATTATTGTTGTTGTTGGTGTTGCTGTTTTGTTATTATTATTATTATTATTATTATTATTATTATTATTATTATGACTACTGTTATTAGTACACTTATTATTTATATCAAATTTTACCCTGAAATCAAAAGGACAAAAATGAAGTAAATCATATTGTGAGGTAGTTGGCATTACCAAGCCCTGACTCTCAGTTTTATTTTCTTCTTTGCATGTTGTGAGGCTGAAGAGCTTTTAAATGAAAGTCAGTTGTATTTTAAACAGAAAGATGAAACAAAAATATTCATTTAAAATCTCAGTAATAACATTAGATCAACAGATAGATCTTAAAAATTCAGATATTGCAAGAATGTATAAATTGTAGCATCGTCACTGGATTGTGAGCAGTATCTGAAGTTTGTCTCGCTGACAGCTGGATGTTTGTAGGTATCTTCACAGGAGGATGAATGTAACACTTATGAATCAATCAACCAGCTGAACGTGAGACTGATCTATAGGAAACACAAAGTGATATTGAAGAACGAGTGAATGAACTATATATGCTCGATCACAGGGACTGTGTCTACTGCAAATGTGTGAAATCTGATAAATAAGACATCATTAATCTGTATGCTCTATGATTCATTATGGCACATGATGCATGTATGCTTGGTGTTCAGTTTTAAAATCTAATTGAGATCTAATTGGATGAGCCACATTTGAAGCTGGCATATGCACAACTGTGATCACACATCAGTCCAATTCTGTTCATTTCAACTGTAACCATGCATCTATAATTAGACTAATAAACTACACTACTTGAAGGAAGCATTATTACGTTGATTCAGCAAATACGCATTAAATTGATCAAAGTGACATTAAAGACTTTTATAATGCTACCAAAGATTTCTATTTCATATAAATGCTGTTCTTTTGAACTTCTATTTCAAATAAATGCTGTTCTTTTGAACTTTCTATTCATCTGTGAATCCTGAAAAAATAAAATGCATCACCGTTTCCACAAAAATATTCAGCAGCACAACTGTTTCAACTGTATTAGAAATGAGAAATGTTTCTTGAGCAGCAAATCAGCATATTAGAATGATTTCTGAAGATCATGTGACACTGGAGTAATGATGCTGAAAATACAGCTTTGATCACAGGAATAAATTGCGTTTTAAAGTGTATTAAAATAGAAAACCAGTATTTTGTTGTAAAAATATTACTGTATTTTTGATCACATAAATGCAGCCTTGATGAGCAGAAGAGACTCCTTCCAAAAACATGTAACAAATCTTAACTTTTGAACAGTAGTGTAAATAATACACATAATGCTCAATATACAGTATGCTTTAATATGTCTATCTTATAAGACTTAAATGATGTTATTTTTGTCCTGTTTTATAATTTCTCACAAGGTCCCACGTTTGATGTGTCCACCAGTTCAGACACAACGAGTGTCTTCCCCTGGGAAACTGTGAAGATGGAGTGTGACGTCAGTGTTAGCGGCACGTCTCCAACTACAGGCCAGTTACACACGTCTCTTTCTCATCAACACACAAATGAAATAAACAACACAGATGAATGCTGATTATGAATAACTTTACACTGCTGGTACATTTCGAATGCTATAGTTTGTTTCTTTAAACATAAAGTAAATCTTGTTAGATTCATGTTTAAAACATGAGAAAAAAAAACTATTCAAGATGCAATTTTACTGCACCAAAAAAATTTAAATTTGCTAAAAATGTGCTCACCCTCAGGCCATCCAAGATGAATGAGAGTCCAAACAGCTGATAAAAACATCACAATAATCCACAAGTAATCCACAGCACTCCAGTCCATCAGTTAACATCTTGAGAAGTGAAAAGCTGTGTGTTTGTGAGAAACAAATCCATCATTAAGACATTTGTTACATAAAAGTGTTGCTTCCAGCTAAAATACGAGTCCATAATCCATAACAACACTTCCTCCAGTGAAAAAGTCGCCTTGTTTGAATCAGGAGAGAAATCTGCACAGATCAAGCACTGTTTACAACAGCTCTAAACAAATATGTGTGTGGATTTTGATGTGATAGACAACAGGAGATGGACTTTTTCACTGGAGGAAGCATTATTATAGATTATGGACTCAAATTTTTGCTGGAAGCAACACTTTGATATTAAAAACGTCTTGATGGATTTGTTTCTTTTGTCTTCACAAGTCATAAACTGATGGACTGGAGTGGTGTGGATTACTTGTGGATTATTGTGGTGTTTTTATCAGCTGTTTGGACTCTCATTCTGACGGCACCCATTCACTGCAGAGCATCCATTGCTGAGACACTGATGCAATGCTACATTTCTCCAAATCTGATGAAGAAGCAAACTCATCATTAGTTTCATTTTCATCACATATATTGATGCTAAAACAAATCAAAATGAAGCATTACAGAGAAAACATCACTTTGTCAAGAGATCACAGTAGTACTTTGAGTTCAGAACAGTTCATCTCATGCCAAATGAGTTATTTTACTAAACTCAGGTCATGAATAACTAGGTTATATTATGTTATCGCTGACTGCTGTTATCAGCCTTACTTTGTTCATTAAACACTATCAGACGACGCTCATTTCTCTGTGACAGCTGAGAAAAATCATGCAAACCCTGTTTCTGAGATGTTCCACACATCAGCCAAAATCAACAGGTTCACAGCGAGACCCAGATGAGATTTGTGCAATAATAACAGATCAGCCAACAGCAGATGTGCTCGTGCCCGCATGTGTTGCATTAGGAACTTTGTTCTGAAAACAAGCACTAGTGTGTGTGTGTGTGTGTGTGTGTGTGAGAGAGAGAGCACACCTTCGCCACACCTTTTTGGCTCATGTGTGCTGTGAGAAAAGAGAAATAGAAGAAAATGAGAGATTCGCTGAGAGATATATAGACAAATACAGAGAGTTTAATTTCTCCATTACAGCAAACCTGTCACTTTTTATTTTGTTTCATGTCACAGTCAGAACCTTTTATAACCATAATATGTTAGTGTGATTTTATAATGAACAAAATTAACAATAGCGTGTTTATTTTTAACTGTTTTGATAAATAAGTAGTCTATGTATTGCAATGTATCACTGAAACACTATTATAGTTTATATTAATATTTTGAATTAGTTTTTATATTTTCTGTTTTCATTTTAATTTTAGTTCAAATTTTAGTAATTTTATTGCGACATTTTAGCAGTTTTTTATTTCTTATATTGATATAGGTTGTATAAATTTTTAGTTTTAGTTTTAAATAAAGTTTTAGTTTATTTTAATTTAAACAAAATTGGAAAAAAAAGATTAATGTTGCTTTGACAACTATTGAAATAATGAAAGTTTACGTTTTCATACTTTATTTTATTCCAGTTAACATTTATCTTATTTCAAGCAATGAAAATATTTTTTTATTTTAGTTTTAAATTTAGTAAACTATAATTAGTTTAG